CAGCACTGTCACAGACTCCTTAAACTACAGATTTCATATTGCTACCCATGAGGGACTTTCAATGGGCAAACATATATAACTGTAAACGAATGAGGATGAATTTTATGATTTTTGAGAAAAACACTTGAATGCTTACATTTAAAGGACTTTGAAGAAAAAGTCATGATGACTTGGTCATTGTTCAGAACTTGAGTCCCCTATATATTAGGTATGTTTCATCTGTGTCATCATGTTTCCATCTTTACCTTCCCTTTGTTCATTGTAACATCTGTATTAGAACATATTGCAAAGGAGTTTTGCATTTTTAAAAACGTTTCCAAGTGTAGGAATATGTTGATCATAGTAAGAGTTCCAATGGTGCAATCTGCTATAATCATTTTACCATGTCTCAACTTAGATGTTCTAGAGGTGAAATCACTTTCCTTGAAGAAGACGGACCATACATATGGTCATATATATTACAGATTCTATCTTCCAAATCTCTCTTTTTCCATTTCAGTGCCAATGTCGCCCATCTCAAGTACTCACTATTTTGTTCTTGGACAATTCCAGAAATACTCTGCTTGTCCTGACTTCTTTCCATCCAAGCTCACACTCTCCTGTGTCACAGCATTCCATGAGGACCCACTCCCATGGACACACTGGGGTCCCAGCAGGGTCTGCTCGATGAGGCGGGAGGCAGAGGACAAGATGTCATACATCATCCCTGCTTCAACTAGAATGGCTCTGTGCTGATCAGTTCTTTTCTTTTTCTCTTTGGCTTTCTTACAAGATTCTGCTTAAAACAAATGTCCCTCTTTTTTGAAAACCATTGGCCCTCTAGACATAACCACATTCATGGCATGCTGGTGCTATCTCTTCTCAACACACTTCCAAACCAGCAGGCTTTCTTCTCCACAGTCACGTTTTACTCACAGTGAATTATTGCTCACCATTCCTTAAACACTTATATCCCTGAAATTTTATACATATTGCCATTTTTTTCTTAAAGTATCATATCTTTCTTCCAGGGGTGGGGAGATAGCTCAGCAGTTAAGAGTGCTTACTACTCTTGCAGAGGACTGGAGTTCTGTTCCCAGTGCTCATGTCAGGCAGCTCACAACCACCTGTAATTCCAGTTCCAGGGGATCACACACCCTCTTCTGCTCTCTGTGGATTCCTGTACATGTGGCATATACACATAAAAAGAATAAAATTAATATTAAGAAAATGAATTTTCAGGGCTGGAGAGATGGCTCAGTGGTTAAGAGCACTGGCTGCTCTTGCAAGAGGACCTGGGTTCGTTTCCCAGCACCCACATGGAGGCTAACAACCATCCATAACTCCAGTTCCAGGGGCCCTGACACCCTCTTCCGACCTCCTCTGGCATTGCATGACACAGGTGCACTTACACACATGCAGGCAATACACTCAGACACATAAAAAGCGATAAATAAAATATTAAAAAATGAAAATGAAAATTTCCCAAAGTTATTGAGGTATAATTGACAAATAAAAACTACATAAATGTAAAGTGTAAAGAAAGGCATTGTGGCACACATTGTAATCTGAGCACTCAGCAGGCAGAGGCAAGAGGATTTTGAGTTCAAGGCTAACTTCGGCTACATAGTTCAAATCAACCTTAGGTACATAGCAAAAATCTATCTTAAAAATCCAAGGACTGGAGATGTAGCTCAGTGGTAGAACATTCTCCTAGCATGCATAAGGCCCTGTGTTTGATCTCCAGCACTGAAAACATGTGCCATATGACGATTTTGTGTATATACAAATGACTGGAAATAACTGCTATAATTGAGCTACTAGACACCCATCACCTTATTACTGCACAGCTCAGGGCTAAACTGTGCCTCTGAGAGCTGAGAGAGCCCTGAGCACCTCAGCCACTTTTTTTTTTAAGTTAGACTGAAAACTCATCTCTTTTCTAAATGGGGGTTATACCATGTGTGAGGAGAGTCTTGACTGTCAACCTGTTCTTAATATTAATTTTGTTCCTTTTTATGTGTATATGCCACATGGACAGGATCTGGAATCAACTAAGAAACAGGGTTACATGGGTATATGGGGCTATTTCGTATTTCTAGGTCAGTCTAGGATTGACAGAGGGGAGAAGACCCTCCCCCAAAGTGGGCAAGCATTCCAGCAGGAGCCCAGATATAAAGAAGTCTAGGGAAAAAGCAGTGCAGTTTGCTTGCCTACCTTCACTTCTTGCTGGTGAGTGTGTTGCTGCTGCTGCTACTTCTGATGTCACAATCCAGCTTCTTTGGCCTTCCAATGTGGGCTGAAGATCAGCAGCTCTCCAAGAATCTTTAAAGGCCTTCAGTGCCAGATTGAGACAACTGAGGCATCCAGCTTTGTGGACTCACTATCTATTGGAATTCAGCCTCTCCAGCATGTAGATGGCTATTGTTAGGTTACACATCCCTACTGACTGAGCCAATCTAATAAAAACATCTTGTATATTGATTCTATCAGTTCTGTTTCCCTAGAGAACCCTCACTAACACATCCCGATTCTATGCATTTGGAAGTACCATGCATATTGAAGAGAATACTTGTGTCTCAGAAATCTCAACTTTCTGAGTCACAATTAAGGGCAGTTTGAGGGTGAGTGGAATTTTCTTTGTGTTTGGAGCAGGTTTATGTACCTTCCTCCCACTTACCTATTATGTCAAAGTCACAGATATTTTAAAAGCTCATTTTTTGCATGTTAATGATACAGATACTTTTCTGGAAGTGCCAGCGACAATGATGCATCATTGGAGGGTCATCTGCTGCACAGTAACAGCAGATCTAAGAAATTTAATCAAAATTGATTTGACTCATAGTATGTGTATCTAGAAATTAGGGGATAGAATTTTATTTGCTGATCATGAAACTTTAGTTGGATTTTAGAGAAGATGAACAGGGTCAGTAATACAAACATTATGGTAAAGAATAGAGGCATTGTTAATGAAAAGTGGAAGAAATTATGAGAGGCATTCTGAGGTGAATAATAATTTCTTCAATACAAAGAGTTGTTTTGGAATAACATCAGTTTCTTCCCCATTTCCTCTTTTTCAGTAAAAATAGAACTCCAGAAAGTGGGTTTAAGTCCCTAAGTTAAAGAACTTTGTGGTTTGGAGGTGTATAACTCAGTGGTTGTTTACCAAAGCCATAGATTTCAATCCCTGCACAGCCAAACAACCAAGGAAGGAAATAGCAATGAATACAAACCCCAACTTCAACAGTTCCCAGACCCTGGAATGAGGTCTAAGTTTTCTCAACTCAGAGCTCTTTAAAAAGAAGAAGGGATTTGACATGGTTGGAGATATTTGAGATGTGGGTGAGGAGTGGGGCAGGGTTCAGGTCAGGACTCAGGTGTGAATACTGAATAACCATTTTCTTTTGATCTTATTCTGCAGAGAAATGTCTCCTAATTGGCCAACACAGAAAAAATTGTACATAGGATGAGTGTACTTAAAACTTAACTAGACCTGTTAACTACACCTTCCCCTGGTTGACTGAGGTTGGATTGCAGGAAGTGGCCTCTGGTCCCGAGGGTTAGGTTAAGTGATGCCCATGGTTACTGTGGGGACAGAAACTGTGTCCTGAGGGTCACCATGTCTGCTCTGTAGCTACTAGGCATGGTAGATTACCCCTGTAATCCCAACACTTGGAAGGCTGAGGTAGAAGGATCCTTGAGAGTTTGAGGTCAGATTTAGCTACAAAGTGAGGCTTGTCAAAAGAAACTAAAGAAAATTGAGAAATGGAACAATGCCTGTACTGTGATCATCTGTTGCTACCCATTTTGCAACACCAGACTCCTGGTTTAGCTGGGTTGGCATGTGTACTTTGTAATGGAATTAGATTGATATTCTAACTGAAATTTATTTCCTTTCTTGTGCACCTTCCTCTGAATAGTAAGTCACTTTGTTGCTCTCCCCCCTCCCCATCCTCAGTGAACATCTGCTGGCTTGGAGGTGTGGCTCCAACTTTGAGTTTTGTGAGACCCAAGCTTTGTAGCCCAAACTTGTCTTGAACTCAAAGATCCTGCTCCCTCAGCCCCCTAAGTGCTGGGATAACAGGTGTGAGCCATCATGCTTCTCTTTCAACTTTTTTTTTTAAGTGCTTTTAAGAAAACAAAAACCATTTGTTTCATATGTAACTATTTTGTTATATCAGGCACTACCCACAAACAAAAGTTTAACCAGCTTGGGCTGTTGGCTCATGTATAGGTAAACCAGAGAAGCTGAGACAGGTGGGTCCTGGTGAGTTTCAGACCTAGGTTACACAGTGAATTCAGGGCTAGCCTGAAGGTAGTGCATTTGAGGCCAGCATGGGGCACTATACAGAGCTGAAACCGTGTCTCAAAAACCCAACCAACTAATCACCCAATTAGTGTCCCCTCAAACAACCCAAATTAAAAACCCAAACTCCACTTTATCTTAGCCAAAAGTCTGAGAAGCGATACCCCCCCCCCAACAAAAACCCAAACTCAAAACACCCTTAAACCTAAGTCCTTGGTTGGGTGCAGTTTATAGAAAGCACCTTGTAGGAGGCTCAGTGCTTTTTCTCCGTTTAGCTGGGTGGGATCTCCAGGCAGATGTGAATCACGTTTGTGGGTGCAGCTAAGTCCTTGATTAGCTGGAGGCTTTCTAAAATTTCTTGGAAGTTTCTATACCAGAGAGCAAGACTTTGGCTTAAAGGCTTCCAGACCTGGGCCAGGTTCCCATCTACAGCCTTGCTCTGCCCCCTGCTGTTGGTTGCATTCAAGGGCGGAGCCATGGCTGCAAAGAGCATTTCAGGATTGGGGGGGGGGGGGGGGGGGGGAAAAATTTTAATTTCCAGAACTATCTCCTTAGTGCAAAACCAGCCCTTTTGATACAAGATCAGCAGGTGCGGTTCATTCTCCGGGCGTGACCCTGGCCGCAGAGCCCACTGTCAGAGGTGGGGTGTGGCAGCTATCTGTGACTTTGGTGGCGGGGGCGGGGCAGGGTTTACTGGCGATGCTGCCCCACTGTGGTTGCGCGGAGACTGTCCGGCTCTCCGAACCGCGCCTCGCCGTGTCCCCAAGGCTTGGGCAGTGTGGGCCAGCTTGCGTGGAGGAGGCTGCGGCGGTGCACACGCGACAAAGCCCCCGGAGTTGCTAGTAGACGAGGAGGTCTGCTCTCGGAGGTGGGTTGCTCAGAGCTGGACCCTATGCTCTTCCCTCCAGGAGACTCCAGCCTCCTCGGAAAATGGACGTGGCTCTGGGGAGGGGCCTGAGGAATGGGGGCAGTGGGACCCGCCACCGGTGGTCGTCGGCCCCCCTCCACCGGGCTGGACCAGTCTCAGGGTAGAGGACAGAGAGCCCCGCCCCCGCTCCTGCCGCCAGGACCGACCGAGACGCACACGCTCCTTAATCCTCCGCCCCCGGTTGCCCGGGCGACGGCCCAGACGAGCAGGTGATGCATTGACAGCAAGCAGATGGTCCCCCGCGGAGGCGAGCGCGGCCCACAATGCGCCTCGCACGGTGATCCCACTGTGCCACCCCCGCCCCGCGGCCCGCGCTGCCCGCATGCTAATTCGGCCCGGGGGAGGGGTCGGGGGCGGGGCTGGCCGCCCGGGGCACGCCCCGCTGCTCTCTGCAGCCGCCTGGCCTCTGGTTTCTAAACGCTTTCCCCAAATCTCCGCGGAAGAGCGTTCCTCCTCCTCACTCCCACCCAGCCCGCTTCAGCTCTCTGCTGCTCCACGCTAGCCCCCCACTCTTGCCTCTTTCTCCCACCTGCAGCCTCTGCCCATATCTGCATTCTTTTAATGGCCAGTCTTGGAAGACTAGAGGAATGGGTTTAACACTGCCCAGCCCTGGTCCCTGTTTCTAGAGCTGATGTTGAGATTGCGAAACGTGTGGAGACACCCACCTCCCTCCGCCCCTCTCCGTCCCCCCCCCCCTTTACTTCAGA